GGGATTCCCTAACTGTGGAGGGGCGATAGACGGAACGCATATCCCTATCTTGGGACCGGAGCACCAAGGGAGCCAGTACATAAACCAAAAGGGGTACTTTTCACTGGTGCTGCAAGCACTGGTGGAACACAAGGGACGTTTCACCAATATCAACATGGGATGGCCAGGAAAGGTACATGATGCTCGCATTTTCAGGAACTCTGGTCTGTCTGAACGGCTGCAGCAAGGGACTTACTTTCCAGACCAGAAAATAACTGTTGGGGATGTTGAAATGCCTATAGTTATCCTTGGGGACCCAGCCTACCCCTTAATGCCATGGCTCATGAAGCCATACACAGGCACCCTGGACAGTAGTCAGGAGCTGTTCAACTATAGGCTAAGCAAGTGCAGAATGGTGGTAGAATGTGCATTTGGACGTTTAAAAGTGCATTGGCGCAGTTTACTGACCGGGTTAGACCTCAGCTAAACCAATATTCCCATCGTTATTACTGCTTGCTGTGTGCTCCACAATATCTGTGAGAGTAAGGGGGAGTTGTTTATGGCGGGGTGGCAAATCGCCTGGCCACTGATTACGCGCAGCCAGACACCAGGGCGGTTAGAAGAGCACACCAGGAAGCGCTGCGCATCAGAGAAGCTTTGAAAAACAGTTTCATGACTGGCCAGGCTACGGTGTGAAAGTTCTATTTGTTTCTCCTTGATGAAAACCCATCCCCTTGGTTCACTCTACTGCCCTGTAAAACAACCGCCCTCCCCTCCCCCCTTCGATCACCACTTGCAGAGGCAATAAAGTCATTGTTGTTTCAAATTCATGCATTCTTTATTAATTCATCACACAAATAGGGGGATAACTGCCAAGCTAGCCCGGGAGGGGTGGGGGAGGAGGGAAGCACCGGGTGGGGTGGTGGAGGAGGGACGGACAAGGCCACACTGCACTTCAAAACTTATTGAATGACAGCCTTCTGTTGCTTGGGCAGTCCTCTGGGGTGGAGTGGTTGGGTGCCCAGAGGGTCCCCTCCGTGTTCTTGGGCATCTGGGTGAGGAGGCTATGGAAGTTGGGGAGGAGGGCGGATCAGTTTGATCCTCCAGTAGCCTCAGCATTGCATCCTGCCTCCTCTCATCACGCTGCCGCCACCGCTCCTCTTGCTCCAGCCATCTATCCTCTCGCGCGTCCCTCCTATCTTCGCATTCATTTTGTGCTTTCCTGGACTCTGACATTGTCTGCCTCCATGCATTCTGCTGGGCTCTTTCAGTGTGGGAGGACTGCATAAGCTCAGAGAACATTTCATCACGTTTTTTTCGCCTTCTTATCTGCACTAGCCTCTGGGACGGAGATGATAGGGGGAGCGTTGAAACATTTGCAGCTGCGGGAGGAAAAAAAGGGAGAGTTGGGTTGACCATTTAAAATGGGTTGGCCATTTAAAAGGAGGGGCTGCGGTTTTCGGGTTAACATGCAGCACAAACCCAACTAAACCCCCCCTTACACCCAATTCTCTGGAATGATCGCTTCACCCCTCCCCCCACCGCATGGCTAACAGTAGGGATGATTTCTTTTCAGCCACAGGCACACAGCCCAGCAGGAATGGCCATCTCTGAATGTCCCCTTAATAAAATTCCCCTATTTCAACCAGGTGACCATGAATGATATCACTCTCCTGAGGCTAACACAGAGAGATAAAGAACGGATGTTGCTTGACTGCATTCCAGTAGCTTTACTGGCCGCGAATACATCCCAAGTCTTCAGGGAAAATTAATCATTAAACACGCTTGCTTTTAAACCATGTATTATATTTACAAAGGTACACTCACCAGAGGTGCCTTCTCCGCCTTCAAGGTCCGGGAGCCCGGGTTGGGAGGGCAATGTCTCCAGGGTGATAAACAGTTCCTGGCTGTCGGGGAGAACGGTTTCTCCGCTTGCCTGCTGTGCGCTATCATCTTCCTCATCCCTGTTGCGTGAGACTTCCTTGCAGGAGTCCACGTACAGGGGCAGGGTAGTTGTAGGGGCACCCCCTAGAATTGCATGCAGCTCATGATAGAAGCGGCATGTCTGGGGGTCTGACCCAGAGCAGCCGTTTGCCTCTTTGGTTTTTTGATAGGCTTGCCTGAGCGCCTTAAGTTTCACATGGCACTGCTGCAGGTCCCTGTTATAGCCTCTGTCCTTCATGCCCTTGGAGATTTTTTCAAATATTTTGGCATTTCGTCTTTTGGAACGGAGTTCTGATAGCACGGATTCGTCTCCCCATACAGTGTGATATCAGACCCAGTACCTCCCGTTCAGTCCATGCAGGAGCTCTTTTGCGATTCTGGGACTCCATGGTCACCTCTGCTGATGAGCTCTGCATGGTTACCTGTACTGATCAGTTCGCCACACTGGCCAAACAGGAAATGAAATTCAAAAGTTCCCGGGGCTTTTCCTGTCTATCTGGCCAGCACATCTGAGTTGAGAGTGCTGTCCAGAGTGGTCACAATGGAGCACTCTGGAGCACAATGGAGCACTCTGGCCAATACCATTGAATTGCGTCCACACTACCCCCAAATTCGACCCGGTGATGTCGATTTCAGCGCTAATCCCCTTGTCGGGGAGAAGTACAGAAATCGATTTTAAGACCCCTTTAAGTCAACAAAAATGGCTTTGTCGTGTGGACGGGTGCAGGGTTAAATAGATCTAATGCTGCTAAATTCGACCTAAACTCGTAGTGTAGACCAGGGCTAAGATACAAGAAGCTTATAAAATACACTTAAATACAACAGCTTCTCGGTGTTGTGCTATACCAGGCTACTACACTATAGATGAAGTTAGGTGTGAGAAAGACTGTAACGTCAATAGTGTTAGCCAATATTCATAGTATATACAACATTAACATTATACTGTATAGAATATCACTATGTTTCTTGAATTGTCCTCATTTTAAGATCTTCCTAAATGCTTTTTTATTTACATTACAGAAAGAGATAGCTGAAGTATTGTAATTTCAGGGCTAGGCACAAACATAACAGAAAAACAGGTAATGCTATGCCTGCAATGTTAAAAACAAAGTCGTGTGCTTTTGTTTAATATCTGCATGACTGTCAAAATATAAAATATATGTCATGTTCAAACTTACAACATATCCCCTACATGGAAGGTGTAGCAATTACTGTCTATGAAAAACATGTCACAGAAAATAGAAAAGAAAGATATATTAGATAAAGTGATGTAGGGAAAATTGTGAAACTCCCCCCAGTTAGGTATAAAGCACAGAATCTCTCAGACATTGTGAGCACTGTAATCCTGTCTTCCACAGGGACTGGTAATGTAGGCACTCTTCCTTTCTGTATTAAGCTGTATTAATCTTCGACTAATAATCATTGATTAATCAATTGATTAAGCCTAGTTATTGAACATCTCTTGTTTTTTATTCATAGTGTACCCACAACAAGTGTGAAGGTGTCCAGGTACTTCAGTTCGTTGCACAATTTGCGGTATGCCTTTTTTCACTGTTTCAGAGTACAAATTTTTAAATGGTTTGTTTTCTTGGGAGCATGCCCAATAGTTTGCAGTATTCTTTCCCAATTACTGAACTGCACTTGAACTTCCTCCATGTCACCATACATGGGTGGGGAAAAAAGACACAGATAAAATAAAATATTATCTTTTAGCAAATGGTCATTTGTCTCAAAGTCCCCAATAAATCTGAGGTACATTCTGTCAAACAAAGGTAATATCCATTTATGAGACTAAACCACCTTCAGGACAGAGAGAAAAACACACAACACAGAGGGGCGGAAGACACTTTCATTTTCATATAAAATGAAATTCCAGAGCAGTTTATATCTGATAAATCAAAACAGATTCTCCCATTGCGTTCGCCTCTGATCCATTCAATTTTCCTTCGCTCTGTGCCACCTCATTATTATTGAGTCACGTTACTTACAAAAGATTTAGTTTCATCACAAGGGGGAAAAGCAGCCAACCTTCCCATCTGCAACAATCCCAGCTCAGCAGGAAAAAGCCCAGAAGCAGCTTTGCCAAGAGATGAAAGCACAGAATGACTACTCTGTGTTTGGGATCCATTCAAATTCTCCTTCCAGGTCTGTGAAACTTTCATCTCTAGCCCTAGTGAGTCTGATTTAGGTTCAAAGTATGACATCTAAGCACAGGGAGCACACAGAACATGGCATCACGTGACACTTCGGGAGGTGCAGGGGTAGAACGTGGGAGGATAAACGCTATTGTGCCTTACACAGAAGCTAATGCTGCTGGGGCAAGGGGGGATTGTGACAGTGATGGGGAAGGAGGGAATCCCTTTGACTCATTCCATCTCCTTCGGGTGTCACAGAGGCTGAAATGACACATTTTTCGTGCCCTGCTCCTGCTCTTTGTTCTATTTCAATCTATTTTAAATGAGGAAAATGGTAGAAAAAATACTTCTGTCCAGCACAACCCTGAGCAAGGTGAGAACAACTGGGATTGAGACAATCTGTCCCCAAAGGGGAACTCGGTGACTAAGAATCACTTTGTAATAGGGGAATGGTATCGACATGATGCTCGGGGTTTGTCTAGACTAGGGGAAATGATGGAGGTGAGCTCAGGCCAAGGGGAAAGCTAACCCCAGTCACGGTACCCAGGTTATGTCTCTACTACTCTCTACTGTTATGTCTCTATGTAGTTGTGTTGTTACAACAAGATCGCTAAGATGAGCCATGCACAATCCCAGTGGAGACAAGCTTTTACCTCAGTGTAGCTAGTCAAGGTTACCCCATCTCCCCAACCTGGTGCTGATGGATATTTCTGGCAGGAGGGGGACACTCCCAGGAGATATAAGACAAAAGAGTTGATAAAGGATGATGGGATTCACCCCAAATCAGGGGAAGGTGGGGAGATGGAAAAGACAGAGGCCGGCAACTCACATGGAGCTGAAGGACCACACTGAAGAAAATGGTACAAACTGTGGGAATTAGCTAATGTATTTTACCAAAAAACTTTGGTGAACCCTAGACAAGACATTTATGGCATTACTCACCTGTGTGGATTTTCTTATGTTTGATAAAAGCTGAGCTCCAACAAAAACTTTTCCCACACTCCGCGCACGAGTAGGGTCTCTCGCCCGTGTGGATTCTCTGATGTATGCTGAATGTTGAGCTCCCACTAAACCTTTTCCCACACTCAGAGCATGTGTAGGGTGTCTCCCCAGTGTGGATTCTTTGATGTGCCAACATGTGTGACTTGTGTTTGAAGCTTTTCCCGCACTCAGAGCATGTGTAGGGTCGCTCTCCCGTGTGGATTCTCCGATGTGTAGTAAGCTGTGACCTTTGGCTGAAGCTTTTCCCGCACTGAAGGCATGTGTAGGGCCGCTCTCCTGTGTGGACTCTCAGATGTGTGATGAGGTGAGAGCGGAGTTTGAAGCTGTTCCCACACTCTGAGCACGTGTAGGGTCGCTCTCCTGTGTGGATTCTCTGATGTGCGAGAAGGTGTGATCTGTTTATAAAGCTTTTCCCGCACTCAAGGCACATGTAGAGACGCTCTCCTGTGTGGATTCTCTGATGTTTGTTGAGGCTTGAGCTCTGGCTGAAGCTTTTCCCACACTCAGAGCATGTGTAGGGTCGCTCTCCTGTATGGATTCTCTGATGTTTGATCAGGTCCGAGCGCCGACTGAAACTTTTCCCGCACTCAGAGCACATGTAGGGCCGCTCTCCTGTGTGGATTATCTGATGCGTGATGAGGTTTGAGCTTTGACTAAAACTTTTTCCACACTCAAGGCATGTGTAGGGTCTCTCTCCCATGTTCATTCTTTCATGTCTCATAACATCTGAGCCACTACAGAAGCTTTTCTCTGGCCTATGCTGACTCTCACAGGCTTTTGCCTCTGCACAACTCCAAGAAACTTTCCCTTTGGATCTTCCTGTTAATGTCCCATGTGGTTCTACTTGCTCAGCATCTTCCAGGTGGGGACTCTTCTCCTCGTTCTCACTCAGCATCCCATCTCCTGGAAGGATAGAGAGAGAATCCAGACATAGGTCACTCCCTGTGCTGGGGAGAGAGGAAACCTCAGGGAGAGGAATGGGAAAAGGTGGGAACAAACCAAAATAAGTGCTGGAGAGATCAAACAAATAGGATTTGATTACCACCCTCTCCCCGCCCTTCCCAAAGCCCTTCCCTGGAGGACAGAGGTCATTTGTGAGTCTACATCCCACTCAGGGGGAAGGAAGATTGGGGTGGGAGCTAGAGCCAGATGTCAGTCAGGAGAGGTGGTAAATCATGAGTGACATCTGCCATGAGGATGCCACACCTGCTGGGAACAATTTTGAATTCGGAGAGCTCACAAGATCTTTGTAGGGAATCCCAAACATTTTCTTCATTCATGGACAGTTTCTGAGTTGGTTACCTGAGGCCTCACCTGTCTGGGCACCTTTCTGGAGCTCTCTTTCCTCAGAGCCCTGGAGATCTTGGACCCACAGCTCTTCCCCTCGTTCCAGCCGGGAGATCACATCAGGTTTGGAAACTGGAAACCCTGCGTAAGAGAACAAAAATGAGGAAGATCAGCTGAATTTGAAGGATACTTGTCACAAAGAGAATTCCATAATTTTACCCTCAGCTCATTTTTAAGCATCCCGAGGCCAACTTCCTGGGATCCAAACAGCAGGACAGTTGTTATTATTAATCATGTTCATTACATTAATGCCTAAGGACCAATAAAAACGGGGCCCCATTGTTCTAGGCATTGTATAAACACAGAGTAATAGATTGTCCATGCCCTGAGGAACTTACAATCCAAATAGACAAGACACACACCGGGTGGCGGAAGGAATTAGAATACATGAGCAGAGTGAACAATGTAATGGCAGACAGATATGATAAACACAGGTATATCTTGATACTATTGTATTTAACTGTGATGGGGTACACAGTCCCCACACTGGGCCTGATGGGGTTAAAGGACACTACTGGGTACAGGTAGCCCTGCCCCCTGGCCTGTGGAGCATGCTTCAGCTGGAGGAGCAGGTTAGAAGATGCTCAGAAGTCCAGGGAAATGGGGGAAAGGGAACAGGTTGAAGGGAAAACAGGTCCTTCTCCTGAAGAGCCACATGGAAGGTTGAACCTGGGATGGAACCACATTGGTGAGGCCCCCAGGCCGTGCCTTCTCCCAACCAGAAGACCCCACAGGGTCTGGTCTTTTGAACTCCGGGGGGAAGCTTGAGTGGGAGATGAGACACTGACCAGAGACCTCGGCAGAGGCCATTGCCATGGTGGAGAACTACCTGATGTCCCTTTGGTCCAAAGCTGAAATGCCAAAAGTCAGACTGGTGCACCTCCGGGGCCCCAAGTACCACTGAGCCCAAACCTCACTGAGGCTATCCAGGGTGATTTGGGTACTGAATCCTAGTAGAGGGGGATACAAAGGCCAATAGAGGAGACTGGAAGCCCACCCTCAGCTAACCAGGAGACATTTGGGTCAAGCAGAAGGCGCCATGCCACTCAGGAGAATTAATGCAAAACCTCTTTATCTCGTGGGGGCTGTTTTGCATGTGAGCAGCCAGGCCATTTCAGATGGGACTGCCCATTCATGGACTATAATTATGGGCAGGCCTGGACAGCGGATAACTGGGCTCAGAAAAGGGGCACAGGGAAAACATTAGTCCCCTTGCTAGTGAATGGAGTAAACATAAAAGGATTGAAAGACTCTGGCTGCAGCCAGAGTTTAGTCAGTGAGTGGTTGGTGGGGTTGGGAGGAGAATCTAGGTGCATGGTCTACCTCCCGTGTATCCACGGGGACATGCAACCCTGTCCGATTAAACAAGTGCAACTGACTCTGCAAGACCACACTGAGACAGTGCAGGCCAGAGTGGCCAAGGACCTGGCCTCTCTGGTCATACTTTGGCATGACTGGAAGTTTTTCAGGGAGGATGTCCAGGGATGTCTAGAGCCGAACTAGAAGAACCAGAAGGACAGGAGATGGCCATGGTGGCCAAGAGGAGGTGCCAAGAGGAGATGGCTCCATTGGAGGCCAAAGATCCAGAAGAAGGACCACCCTCCTCATGGGCAAATGACTTTTCACCTGAACTTAACTGGGGCAGTAGGGGCCTGCTACCACCTCTCAACCTGGACCTGCTGTCTAACAAATAAACATTGTGGGAGAGCAAAGGAGGGACCCAACCCTGAGTCAGGTTTATGAACGTCTCACCCATGACAAAGTGTTAGACCCACAGCAACTGAAATAGTGGCCCTATTTTGAAACTGCTAGAGGAGAAATCATATTGGGTGATGAAGCAGGCTGAGACAGGGTTAGTCAAATGCAGCTTCGGTACCCAGGAATTTCCAAAGGGGAGATGCTTCAATTGGCCCAAGCACTGCTGTGCCGGGGCACTTGGGGACAGAGAAGACACTCAACAGAGTGACCACGGAGTTCTACTGGCCGGGCATCCACCCCAGAGGCACGGAACTATTGTGCCTCCTGCCCCAAGTACCAGTGGGTGAGCCAGAAAAACATCTCAAAGGCCCCCCTGGTACTACTCCCCTCTGCAGGGGTCCCTCTGATGGGCAGGTGCTGGGATTGGGGGACAGAGGAAGGATCACTGGATGATTGCCCTGTTGTGTCCATTTCCTTGGAAGCATCTGGCATTGGGCCCTGTCAGAAGACAGGATACTGGGCTAGATGGACCATTGCTCTGACTCAGTATGGCCGTTCTTATGGACAGGCACAGAGCTGGTGGGTCCGCTGAAAACGTCTGCAGCCAGGTACTAATGTAGATTGGTGATCTTGGACTATGCCTCCAGATACCCTGGGGCCACTCCCCTCTGGTCAGAAATGGCAGCTGTCGTCACCAGTAAGCTCATGAAAGTATTTGCCTGAATAGTGATCCCCAAAGAATTTACAGAGCAAGGGACAAACGTCACCTCACAGTTAATGGAGGAGTTGTGCGACCTGCTGCAGTTCAAGTCCTTGAAGACGTCAGTATACCACCACCAAACCAAACAGTTTAACAAAACTTTATATTCTGCTTTATTATATTCAGCAGTAATGCAAGGACCTACAGGCTTGTATCCTGTAAGACACTGGCTTCAGCAGTTAGCATGAGGCTTGAGGCCTATGAACTTCGGTATAGATAAACTTAGGTAACTCGTAAGTTTTGGGGAACTGGAAGTAGAGTGTAGGAGGTGGAATTTTGTCCATAATGACATCAGCCAACCACAGAACATGAACTGACACCAGCTTCTGGAAGGTTTTGGACGGAACATCTGACCGCAAAAGTGCCATGGCAACGAATTGACATATATGATACTGGGGTGAAATCATTAATACGCTAACCTATAGAAGAAAGACACCTGAACATTGGTAAGAGGAAGAACTACAAATAAGGAAGAGGGGAGAAACCCCTATGGACAGTAGGGGAGAGAGATGTAGCCCTTGCGAGGGGCCAGGATGATGGCCACTGGTGAAGATGAGGAAGGTGACAGCGATGAGGAAGATAAGGGCTAACATTTCAGGTTGTTCTGCAAGGGATGGTGTGAGTATGGATGTTCAGATATACTTTCTGTATTATCTCTATCTACCTTACTGAGTTAGTGTGTGACTTTGCTAAATGTATTAATAAATTATTTATTTGTAAATATAAAAAAGTTCCTATAGTGTGAGTGTTGCACCTGTGCACATCAGGGTTCCCAACTATATAATCATTTTAATAATACAGGGCCTGATCTTGGTACAAGAACCTGACACTATTTGTCCCATATTGTAGGGTTGCTTGCCAGGCGTCCAGTTGGCACAGGGCTGGCAGGCTCCGTACCTGGCTCTGCACAGCTCCCTGGAAGTGGTGACAGCTCCCTCTGGGTCCTAGGTGCAGGGATGGCCAGGGGGGCTCTGTGTGCTGCCCATGCCATAAGCGTGCGGGGCAGCGCCTGCGGGCAAGGTAGCACGCACAGCCGCCTGGCCACGCCTCCACCTAGGACCCAGAGGGAGATGTCGCCACTTCCGGGGAGCCGCCTGAGGTAAGCTGCCTGAGATAAGCCCCGCCCAGAGCCCACACCCTCGCCCATACCCCAACCCCGAGTCCCCTCCCGCACCTAAACTCCCTCTTGGAGTCAGCACCCCGAACACTCTCCCGTGCCCCAACCCCTTGCCCCAGCCCTGAGACCCTCTCCCTGCAGCGGGGGCTGGAGCCGGGGCCATGCGCCCCCGACTGATCCACAGCTTGCAAGGGGGCCGGAGCCCAGGCCGTGCACCCCCAACCGACCCACGGCTTGTAGGGGGCAGCTTGCACTGAGACTGGAGCTGGGGGCTGCAGATGGGGCCATGCGCCCCCAACCGACCCACAGCTCGCAGCGGTGGCTGGAGCCGGGGCGCCACTGACCAATCCGCAGCTTGTGGCAGGCAGCTTGCAGTAGGACTGCCGCCAGGGGCCGGAGCTGGGGCCATGCACCCCCGACCCACTGCTTCCTAGCACTGTGTGCACCCTGTGAGGGGTTGGATCACAGAAACCCCCTTGGGAGCTGCCACCTAATGTGCCAAGACTACTTCTGCTCCTGTTTTCTCTGCCAGCTCAGGACTCCAGCACCCTGTCTTGCTGAGCCAGCCACTCCCATCTGGCTCCAGACAGAGACCCAGGGTCTGAATCACTTGTCCCAAAGCTACAAGTTTACCTGACAACAGCTCACAGTAGTGTGCTTGTCTTTAGCACTTAGATGCCCAACTCCCAATGGGGTCTAAACCCAAATAAATCCGTTTTACCCTGCATAAAGCTTATGCAGGGCAAACTCATAAATTGTTCGCCCTCTATAACACTGATAGAGAGATATGCACAGTTGTTTGCTCCCCCAGGTATTAATACATACTCTGAGTAAATTACTAAATAAAAAGTGATTTTATTAAATACAGACAGTAGGATTTAAGTGGTTCCAAGTAGTAACAGACAGAACAAAGTAAGTCACCAAGCAAAATAAAATAAAATGCGCAAATCTATGTCTAATCAAACTAAATACAGATAAGTTCCTCACCAGTTCCAGAATGCTCCCTTTTACAGGCTAATCTCCTTTTAGCCTGGGTCCAGCAATCTCTCACAACCCCTGTAGTTACTGTCCTTTGTTTCAGTTTCCTTCAAGTATCCTGGGTGGGTGGAGAGGCTCCTTCTTTAGCCAGCTGAAGACAAAATGGAGGGGTCTCCCACAGGTTTAAATAGACTCTCTCTTGTGGGTGGAGACCCCCCTCCTCCCTCCTATGCAAAGTCCAGCTCCAAGATGGAGTTTTGGAGTCACCTGGGCAAGTCACATGCCCCTGCATGACTCAGTCTTTACAGGCCGAAGCCATTGTCCACATGGTATCTTGCATGTCTCCAGGAAGACTTCTCATGTGGATTGGAGCATTCCAAGATGCATTGTTCCCCAAGTGTTTCCTGATCAGGTACTTAACCTGGCGAATTCCTTCCTAAAGAAGCTGACCAAATGCCTCACAAAGCTTACTTAGAAATCAAGCAAGCATACAGCCCATATTCTTAACCTCAAGTAGAAAATGATATA